CTCAGGGTATCCGCCCGGGCGTTGTCGGAGGGGTACTTCATGAACCCTGTCCGAGTCTGTTCCTGCCTGTGTTGCCGTTTTTCTGCTCTGAATCTCCTGTTTCCTGAAGGTTCCTGAACGCACCCTGTCCGGTTGCCGGGCGACGTTGCTAGGCGGGTGATCTCTCGATTGCCCGCACCTGCTTCTCATCAGCTTCGGCACACCTGGTCCTGATCATCACCCCTTCATAAGCTCTGACCTGACATCCATTCCCTGCCGGATCGTTAGCCATGAACAGTATGTTATGTCAGCGTATCAGCCTCTGAGTTACTAGCGTTAGTTTTGTTGTTTTGCACCTTGTTGGCCTGCCGTGTACTTACCTCCGTTTTTTTTTCTGTCTACAGTCATTCTCCCGGGACCTTCACCCAACCCCTGCCTGGTTGTCGGCGACTGCCGTGCCATCATTGGATCTGCCACTTCACCTCCACCAACTCATCTCCGCCGCCCGCTCCGTCTCCTGGATTACTCTGCATCTTTTTTGAATCTGTTAATAAATACTCACCTTCGTTCAACTCACCTCGTCCTGGTCTGCTTCTGGGTTCTGTCGTAGTGAACCGTCGTAGTGAACGTATAGTAGAGTAGTAGAGTAGTAGAGTATTAGTAGTGGAATGGTAGTAGTAGAGTATTTGTGGAGGACAAAGTGGGAAAAGAACTGAAAAATTGGAGGGGAGCGGGAGTAAATTGTGTGGAAGTGGAGAGAGGGAGGGGATTGGGGAATAGAGTGTGTAAGAAAGGGAGGGGAAGGGTGAGAGAGGGAGGAGAAGAGTAGAGTGTGTAGGGAGAGGGAGGGAGGGGAAGAGGGAGAGAGGGAAGAGTAGAGGGGGAGGAGAAGTGTAGGGAGAGGGAGGGAGGGGAAGGGTGAGAGAGGGAAGAGTAGAGTGTGTAGGGAGGGGAAGGGTGAGAGAGTGGAGGGGAAGGGTTGGAGGGAGGAGGGAGGAGTAGAGTGTGTAGGGAGAGGGAGGGAGGGGAGGGGAGGAGGGAGAAGAGTAGAGTGTGGGGTAGTGTGGGGAGAGGGAGGGAGGGGAAGGGTAGAGAGGGAAGAGAAGAGTTGAGTGTGTGGAGAGGGAGGGAGGGGAAGGTGGTGAGAGAGGGAGGAGAAGAGTAGGGTGTAGGAGAGGGAGGGAGGGGTAAGAGGGGAGAGTAGTAGAGTGTTAGGGAGAGGGAGGGCGAAGGGTGAGAGAGGGACGAGAAGGTTAGGGAGAGGAGGGAGGGGAAGGGTGAGAGGGAAGAAGAGGGCGAGAGGGTGGAGAAGAGTAGAGTGTGTAGGGAGATGGTTGGGAAGACTGTGAAAACCTCAAGTTTTGTCTTCATAAAAAAAAGTGATCTTGTGGTGGAGGTTGTGTGCATGTGTGTTTGTGTATGTAAGCTTGCACATGTGTGTAACTCATAGATAAAGTGACTCCTGTCCAGCCATTCTCAGCAGGGATAATGATGATGACTATCACTCAGACCCAGACTCAGTCCCCTAAACAGAGCTGGCTGGGAGAGTACAGGACACACACACACACACACACACATTTCAACTGGAACTAACAAGAACAAGGAACTGACTGAAACCCCCCCCACACACACCACACCACACTCAGAATACAAGTGAAACCCAATAAGCGCGAGACTCCCAGGGGGACACCACGCACGAAGCACAGATTGAGGGCAGATGTTTACATACATAAAACTGAGAAACAAGATCCATTTATAATCTGAACAGAATAGTCCTGTCGGAATAGTACAATCGAATAATAAAAAACATGTATCATTCCAGTAGCTATATGCAATGCCTACAGTGGACTGAATATATAGCGTTAGGCCTAAATCTCTGTGATCAACAATATAGATAGAGTATAGCAGACTGAATTCCTAGGCCTAATAATAAAATGCGTATCAGTGGTTGGTTCAGCTTTAGCCAGGACCGAAATGTTCTCCATGACTCAAGTAATGTTTCTGTTCTTTACCGTGGCCTTGCCTGCCTCCTCCCTCTCTCTTTCCCTCTCCTCCCTCTACCTCTCTCTTTCTGTGCGGGAGGGAGGGGGGCAGAAGTTATAGCTACTCTCCCCTCCGCTTTTGTTCTGGAACTCGAGCGTAGCAGCAGCAGGGGCGCGAGGCAGTGGTCGGTATGGCGGGAGGCTCGAGCGGCTTCACATTTCTCGGGGTTCTGCTGCTCGCGGCGATTCTGCTGCAGACTGTGGCCGTTACCGTCACTGTGCTCTACTTCACTAACGTCCTCAACACGGTAAGAACCATGGAAGATGGAGGGATAGTATACAGACACTTACTATTGAAGTATTTGAGGTCGCTTGATGTTGCTTGGAATTTGCACTTTTGGGACTATTGCATTGGCTCCATTGTTTCGGGCCTGGCCGTGTAGTGCCAGGCATTTGAAAGTATTTCAAATGTATTTGACCCAGGTTTGATATGTTGTTCTGCGCAGTTCCAGTGCGCATACAGTTAGAGAAAGTAGTTTTGTTCCAATAAAGCTTTTGCAGGAAAACGTGTTGCCTTGCAAGTTAATTACCTGAATTGTTTGTTTAATGTAATAAAAATTGCCTATGTGTGCACTGCAGAGAACGCTCAATGCATTCTGTAAAATAAAGAGTGTTTGTGTGTTGTAGTGCTGTGCTGTGCTGCGCACTGGGATATAAGGAAGTTATGTGCAGAGAAAATGTGCAAAAAGGCTGCCTGCAAGAACCAAAACTCAGACTTTATTGATATGCCAATTTACCAGCTTTATTGTTTGCTTATTGTTTCACCTTATTTTGGCAGGGAAAGTTTAGTGCATTCTCAAGTGCATTGTTCAATTGCTAGTGAAACTGTAATGATGTAACTTTTTGTTAGGCATTCTGTGTTATCCTCTCCTACAGCTGTGCTCTATTTTTATATCTTATCTTTCTCTCTGCATTGTTGGAAATGGACCTGTAAGTAAGCATTTCACTGTTAGTCTAAACCTGTTGTCTACGAAACATGTGACAAACAACATTTTATTTTATTTGTACTTTAGTAACCTGGATTATTTCCATAACGATTGAGCAACAATGCTGACTCTCCCTCTCTGCTTCCCGATACTCCCCCTCTGTCATTCTCCTCTCTCACTCTCTCCCCCCCCCCCCCCTCTCTAGTTCTCTCTCTCTCTGTCTCTCAGTGATTGTCATCAGTGTTGATGGATGTTAATCATTACCAACCTGTATACAGTAGGAAACTGAAACCTAAAATACATCTACAGAGGAATGTTACTTATAAAGACTTTAGACAGACACTCCATTTGAACATGGCATTATTAGTTTCATTACAATGTAAAGGGAGTCAATGAAGTAAACTACAGTTTGTTTCGTAACTCCGGTCCCCCAAGTACCCACAACGACAATACACATTGTGTTATGTAGGAGGTGTGTATTATTCAAATGAAATGTGTGTGTGTTATTCAGATGAAGGAGACGTTTGCAAGGAGCAGTGTGTCTTGTCTGACACGGTCTGACCTCAGAGGGGGGTATGTGCGCTCCCCGACCGAGGGGAAAGGAGACCCCTGTTGGCAGGTCACACAGCAACTACACACCCTCATAGAGAAGGTAACACACACACACACACATATCCTCATCGAGTAAGTATCCACCTCGCACGGGGCCCAGGTCTTCCAGTAGGACAGAGGGGCTCCCTATGCAATTTACCATTAACCACAGATTTAGGATCAGATTACTCTCCATTAATCGTAACCTTAAAGGCCCAATGCAGCCCTTTTTATATCAATATCAAATCATTTCTGGGTTACAATTAATTGCTGTATGTACTATTACAGAGTTTTTCATAAAAAATGGTCTAAAATAAACAAAAATAGCTTTTTAGCAAAAAACTATTTTTCAAGTAAGAATTTTGCTAGGACTGCCTGGGAGTGGTCTGCCTGGGAGGGGAAAACTGAAAACGAGCTGTTATTGGCAGAGAGGATTGGAACTCTCTTTGTTATTGGTCTGTTAACTAATTTACCGCCTGGTAATGTCACCGGGCAAGCCAAAACTCCACCCATGCAAAACTGCGGATTAGAAATTCCTGTGTACACTGAACAACATGTAAAGTGTTGGTCCCATGTTTCATGAGCTCAAATAAAAAATCCCAGCAATGTTCCATACACACAAAAAGCTTATATCTCTCAAATTTTCCCTATTAGTGAGCTTTTCTACTTTGCGAAGATAATCCATCCAGCTCACAGGTGTGGCATATCAACAAGCTGATTAAACAGCATGATCATTCCACAGGTGCACCTTGTGCTGGGGACAATAAAAGGCAACTTTAAAATGTGCAGTTTTGTAACACAACACAATGCCACAGATGTCTCAAGTTTTGAGGGAGCGTGCAGTTGGCCTGCTGACTGCAGGCATGTCCACCAGAGCTGTTTCCAGATAATTTAATGTTAATTTCTCTATCATAAACTGCCTCCAATGTCGTTTTAGAGAATTTTACAGTCTGGCCTCACAACTGCAGACCACGTGTAACCACAGTAGCCCTGGACCTCCACCTCTGGCTTCTTCACCTGCGGGATCGTCTAAGGGGGGTGGGGGGGGAACGGTGCTGAGAAGTATTTCTGTCTGTAATAAAGCCCTTTTGTGGGGAAAAACTAATTCTGATTGGCTGGACCTGGCTCCCCAGTGGGTGGGCTTATGTCCTCCCAGGCCCACCCATGGCTGCACCTCTGCCCAGTCATGTGAAATCCATAGATTAGGGCCTAATTAATTAATTTAAATTGACTGATATTGTTATATGAACTGTAACTCAGTAAAATCGTTGAAATTGTTGCATGTTGCGTTTATATTTTTGTTCAGTATAGATTGTATTTTCTTCCAGGATCTATCAGGCAATAACACTGAGCACAAAATTTTTCACACTTTTACAGTGTTAGTTTCATCAGCTGTTGTACAATATGATACAACACACAGTGAAAACAAAATGTTGACTGCACTGGACCAAAAACCATTAGGGGGGAAATGCAAAACTGACCTAAGATCAGCAACTTCACCCTCCTCAGCAGAGTTTCAGACATACAATGGGGTCTTTATGGTGCAGGGATGGGATCCACTGTGGCTTAATCAGCACTGGAATGTACTCACCTGGCCAGAGACACACAAAGACTCCACACACACACAGTTTGTGCAATCATGTTTTGTGCTTTTATTTGAAATGTGTTAAACAAATTCTCTCTCTCTCAAGTCTCTGTTTCAGCGGTATCAGAGGGAGATCTCCTCAGCAGTTAGAGGTGAGATACACTACATGACCAAAAGTATGTGGTCACCTGCTTGTCAAACATCTCATTCCATAATCATGGGCATTAATATGGAGTTGGCCCCCCTTTGCTGCTATAACAGCCTCCACTCTTCTGGGAAGGCTTTCCACTAGATGTTGGAATATTGCTGCATGGACTTGCTTCCATTCAGCCACAAGAGCATTAGTGAGGTCGGGCACTAATGTTGGGCGATTAGGCCTGGCTCGCAGTTGGCGTTCCAATTCATCCCAAAGGTGTTCGATGGGGTTGAGGTCAGGGCTCTGTGCAGGCCAGTCAAGTTGGAAGCACAGAATCGTCTAGAATGTAATTGTATGCTGTAGCGTTAAGATTTCCCTTCACTGGCACACAGCCCCAGACCATTATTCCTCCTCCACCAAACTTTACAGTTGGCACTATGCATTAGGGCAGGTAGCGTTCTCCTGGCATCCGCCAAACCCAGATTCGTCCGTCAGACTGCCAGATGGTGAAGCATTGTATGCTGGAGTGGTGTAAAGCTCGCCGCCATTGGACTCTGGAGCAGTGGAAACGCGTTTTCTGGAGTTACCAGAAAACGCGTTTCCACTGCTCCAGAGTCCAATGGCGGCGAGCTTTACACCACTCCAGCCGATGCTTGGCATTGCGCATGGTGATCTTAGGCTTGTGTGCAGCTGCTCGGCCATGGAAACCCCTTTCATGAAGCTGCTGACGAACAGTTCTTCTGCTGACAGTTTGGAACTTGTGCTGACGTTGCTTCCAGAGGCAGTTTGGAACTCGGTAGTGAGTGTTGCAACCGAGGACAGACGATTTTTACGCACTTCAGCACTTGGCGGTCCCGTTCTGTGAGCTTGTGTGACCTACCACTTTGCGGCTGAGCTGTTGTTGCTCCTAGATGTTTCCACTTACAATAACAGCACTTACAGTTGACCGGGGCAGCTCAAACAGGGCAGAAATTTGACGAACTGACTTGTTGGAAAGGTGGCATCTTATGACTGTACTGCGTTGAAAGTCACTGAGCTCTTCAGTAAGGTGATTCTACTGCCAATGTTTGTCTATGGAGATTGCATGGCTGTGTGCTCGATTTTATACACCTGTCAGCAACGGGTGTGGCTGAAATAGCTGAATCCACTAATTTGAAGGGGTGTCCACATACTTTTGTGTATATATAGTGTAAGTACCTGACCTATAGAACTAAGGCATACAACTGGGGCAAAACAGCACCCTGTTCCCTGTGTCCATTTGACAAGTTCTATGCTGTTATCACTGACTGATGACCACACTAACTGATTTTCTGTCTCTCTCTGTCAGACGAGATGTCCAGGGTGTTGCCCTCATTGGCAATGGAGGACCAGGTTTCTTCTCGCCCCAAAGTCGCCGCCCATGTCACTGGTAGCTTCGCTCCCAAAGCAGAGAGGGAGGGAGGAGGTGAGACATGTTTTAGTTTACACCCTTCATACTCTACAACTACAATAGAGACACTGTGTGTGTGTCTAACCCTTTGAAGACTGGTGATGAGTGTTTGATGAACGCAGGTTAGACTCCGGGGGCATGTGTGTGCTGTGTTCTTCAGGTGTGTGTGTGTGTGTGTGTGTGTGTGTGTGTGGGGAGAGCTTCAAAGTGATTATATATCACTACAGTAACTAGTAATACATGCAGCATATCTGTCCCATGTGAGCTCTAAACCCAGTGACTTGGTATAACTGGCAGAATGCCCCAACCATCTCTACACCATCTGGACAGACAGACAGCTCGGTGTGAAGTGGTAGATATATTGGCCAGACCAAGTCTGTAGACATATGTTCTGTGGTGCCATCTATGGCCTCTTATAGCAGCACACTTTCCATAATACAGTATGTATTGTGGGGATTGAGGCAACATATGTCCACAAACTGTTCTATTCTATTCTTAACCTATTCTATTCTGTCTTAAGAACCAGCCTTGTCTACTGTAGGCAAGAGGGTTTATTGTCTTCTCAGGAAATCAGCCTTCTCTGTGTTGCTCTTGACACCCCCCATTCTGTCACACACCTCTGTGAAGCAGAGTTTCTGTTGTGATAACATCTTGTAGGTCTGATATCTGATTAGAGGTTAACTTGACATTAATGCTATTGGTTAACAACTCAGATTTTGAATCCAAACAACTCAGATGTTATAAAGGAGTCTCAGATTAATTGACTCTTTGTTTCTGACCTGCTCTGGTGAGATACACTCTCGCTCTTTCTTTCTCCACCCCAGGGACTCTTGGGGCATGGCCTTTCAGGCTATGACCTCTCTCTCTCTCTCTCTCTCACTCTTTCTTTATTTCTCTCTCTCTTGCCCTCTGTCTCTCTCTTTCTCTCTCTCTCTCTCTCGTTTTGCCTTGTAACTTAAGTTTATGTCTTGTATGTGAGTTAATACATTACAAAGTTATGAAATATCTGCCTTTGATAATATAAACTCTGACCTTTCTTTATAAACAATTTCTGTAACTCAACAATAGTCCTGCTTGCCCATTGCTAAATCATCTTTACGAGTCAGATTAAAATTTGAATAGACCTTTATCATAATAATTGCATTATGGGTCGCATGTGAGGTATGCATATATATTTATATATCAAATATTACTTCACTACAACTGTTCCATTTTATTCTTAACCGATTCTATTCCGTCTTAAGACCCAGCCCTGTCTAACTCCTGACCCTCGTTCCTGTCTGGCCACAGGTTCTCCTGGGCGGCGTGTGCAGGGGCAGAAGATCTCGTGGTGGGAGGGGCATAAAGGGCTGGCATTCCTTCAGGACGTTCAATTGATTGACGGGGAGCTGGTGGTGCCTCGCCCAGGACTCTACTATATCTACGCCCAGACCTACTTCAGACACACCCACCCTGGGGGAGAGGAGGGGGATGAAGAGGTGGAAGAGGAGAAGGAGCAGAGGGGGAGACCCATGTTGCAGTATGTTTATAAGAAAGTGAGTTCACAGTGCCAGGGTCACGTTCAGGGGACTTGTAGACATGAAACATAAGAAAATGGTTTGAAATGGAGGTGCCACCTGAACTTGTCCTATAAGAACATTTATTTTCAGTTTTTCCAATTTCAACAGTTATATCTTACTGTATAGTGGTGGTGCTGTGTGCCCCCTCCTCCAGGTGTCGTCCTACCCGGTACCCATCCTGCTGATGAAGACCAGCCGGACCTCCTGCTGGTCCCGGGACTCCCAGTTCTCTCTACACTCCGCCCACCAGGGGGGGCTGTTCCCATTGGCCGCCGGGGACCGCCTCCTCGTCACCGTTAGCAACGCCTCCGCCATTGACATGGATGAGAGGAGCAGCTTTTTTGGGGCTGTCCTGGTCAGCTAGAGGTCAGGGGTTAGTCTGTATGGTGGCTTGGATGGTTTGGGACACCAGCATACTCACTGTTTGGGAACCAGATGTGTGTGTGTACTGACACAGATCATTCGAGAGCTGTGTGTGAGTATGTGTGTTTGTATGCATGCATGGGTGTGTGTGCGTGGGTGTACAGATGTACAACGCTTTCAGCTCTGTGACTGTGCTAGGCTGGACATGTTAGGAGGCGTGAGCAGAGCTGGTGTGGTTATCCAATCATCTTCCACCCTGGTGCTGATGGCCCAGCCTTCCCTCATGGCTCATCCAATTAGCTGTGTCCGAAGCCAGCAGGCCTGTGCTGATTGGATGAAAAGCAGACGAGTGGCGTGAGGTCGGGGGCCAATGTCTGCTTTAGAACTTCAGGACAACTGACAATGAATGAAAATGAACTCAATGAAAAGCGAGGGGATGATTGTGGATAACTGTCTTACTGCTCTTTTCGTACTAAAAGGATGAGTGTCTCCTTTTCCTGTTTTTATGAACTCTCAGAAATGGGTTTTAATGTCAAATTTGAATGTAGGGTGTTTTTGTGTTGTGGGTCTGTGTTACAACTATAAGTACATTGAATGTATGTTGTTTGATTGTAGACTATGACATTCTTAACACAACACCAAGCTCTTACACGAGCAACACTGCCTGCAAACACATGTTCAAGTCAGCACTTTTTCACTTTTGTTTCACAGTTTAAATGTTTCAGGCCATGACCCAGGAGGCCCTACTGTAGCCCAGACCCACCGCCACTATGGGAACCAGTGCTAGGACATGGGTAATGTTGAGGATTTCTTGATTCTCCCACCGATAGACAGAAGGTGGACTGATATAGAAGTATAAGTAGATACAAACAGACAAGTATGCAGTGAGACAGAGGGAGAGGTCTGGACAGGGTTGTCAGCTTACAAAGCTTTCAGTAGAGGAGAATCATCTGCAGATGTTTTTTTGGGGGGTTGAATTGTTTTCACTGCCCATACAATCATGACTCCAGATAGTATGTGTGTGGGCTGTGGAGGCGACGGTTACCATGGAGACACACACTAAATCTTTCTTCAATATGAATCAGACTTGTGCTCGAGTCCAACTGCTCTCATGTTCATGTAGAATTAGCCTGGTTGCCGTCTCTTTTCAGCTATTTATTCCAATTCTTGTACTCAGTCTCATTTGCCAAAGAGGGGCACACTTTTGGCAAATGACAGGTGTGGCAAGTAGTGGAATGTTAGCTAAAACGACTATTACCCTGACTAATGTAGAATGGCATCTGTCTATAAGTATGTGTGTACAATAAAGACACTGCCCAAATGAAGAGGATGCACTCAAATAATTTCTCGACACGAGTAGGCTACCATAGCTGCTGTGGCGGCAGGTAGCCTAGTGGTTAAGAGCGTTGAGCCAGCCACCGAAAGGTTGCTGGTTCGAAATCCCTGAGTCGACTAGGTGAAAAATCTGTCGATGTGGCCTTGAGCAAGGTACTTAATTCTAATTGCTTCTGGAAATTGCTCTGGAAAAGAATGTATGCTAAATGATAAGGTTAAAAAAAAAAGAAAGAAAAAAAAAGTGGTAATATATAGTATTAGGCTACCATAGCTGCTTTAGTCATGTATAGTAGTCACAGTTTAAAGCGTTCAGAGATTAGTCTTTCAGTACCAGTCTAGCACAACAAAACAGCTTTACAAAACAGCTGGGTCAAGGCTGTCTGTTATGGTTGGACATTACATCATGTACCTCATCGTAATGAGCTTCTGCTGCCCCCCTGTGGGTGGTGCAGGTAGTGTCGATATCACTAAACATTGCACACTAGTGTTCATAGTGAAGACTGCAGCTGACTCAACAGAACCAGAGGGTCATACCAAAGATATTTATGCCGTGTTCAATGCTAGTCGGCACTAGCAAACTCTGAAATGTCCAACTTGCTAACAGGTTGTAGATATACATGTGCCGCGTTCTACTAATCAATCTAAGTTCTATATCTTGAAAACATAATTGCTGACATGCTAAATATGCTGGGACTGTATCAACAGTGGACTAATGAAACATAATTTCCTTTAAGTAATTTGTGCAAAGTGAATTGTGATTATATTATTGGACTTGAAATAGTCTGAGATTTCAGTTTGAGTGTGGAAAAGAGAGACAACTTAGGTTTTGATTTTCTTTTTTGTGGAAATATGTTACACTTATATTACAGGTTTTTAAATGCCCAGAGGGAAAACGAAACCAAACGACAGTTGGAGACAGCAGAAACTAGCACTAACAGGACAGCGACATCATTTAGACAGAACCGCCCACACTGGATCTGATAGGCTGACAGCTGGAGTGGGTGTGGCCAACCACTACCTAGGTTAGGTGACCTCCAATAAATACTGCAAATGTTTGTTGTTAATGTAACTTATAAAATATATCATCATAAAACGTCCTTTTAAATGGAATTTGATAAGTTCTGTGTACAAAAACAAAAATTCATAAATTACAGCCAGTCTACGGATATCTGTCTGCAGCTGGGTCCTGCAAACCCAGGCCCAGTCTCAAACGACACCATATTACCCATCTAGTGGACTGAGGCGCTGACCAAAAATAGTGCACTATCTAGGGAATAGGATGCAATTTGAGACACTCTCTTATCACTGAACCACCCATCCCTCTGACAAACAGAGCAACAAACCCATCGCAGGCCAAAACGTCATGCCCTACACATCACTGATAGTACAAAACAAAACTTCTAACTCACAAAATGAAATCTCTGAACATACAGTAACGATATCCCTCTTCCTCCATCTCCATCATCAGTACGTAAGACCAAAAGCACATTCCGGGTGCTGGATGGACAGTGTATATGTGTCTCTTAGTCACACTAGCTGCCTTATACTTAACCCCGCCCCTCCAGGTCCTTCCGCACAGCCCATTGGTCAATAATGTCAGAGGAGGACGTGTCTTCAACAGTCGAACCTCATGTCCAGCGAATCATCAAACCCCCTGTCCTCATGTCCCGCCCCCACCCCGGACAGGAAGGACACTCCCGTCACCCCAGACGCTCCTGTTGCCGTGGTGATGAGCTGGTTGCCATGTGGGGTGTTGCTGGTTGCCGGGCTGCGCAGGGCTGCAGCTGTGATGGAGGTGAGGTTGATGCCGAGCGTGAGTCGCGTCTGTTCTAGAGCCTTCTCTGGAACAGCAAACGCCTCCAGCTTCTTCTCCCCATTCGCCATGTAGGAGTTCTGGCAGCCGCGGCAGATACAGTCCAGACATGCCTTGGAGGATAAATATTCATATTATTAAAATTTACAATCAGTGAACTACATGTGGACAGGGGAACACTTATTTCAGACCAAGCCATAATACATCTATAGTAACTCACCTTGCGGTTGGAGTAGCAGGGGCAGCGCTGCCCCCTGCAGGTGAGAACAGAGGGGTTCTGAGTGGCTCTCCCACATTTACAGCCCTTCTTCTCCACCGGCTTCTTGTATAGGGGCTTGGAGGGGCTGGGTGGGTGAGAGAGAGGGTGAGCATGGCCGTGGGGCGGCAGGCGGTCACGGGGCTGGGCACGGGGCTTGGGGACTCCCTGCCTGGCCTTGGTGTAGGCTTTTTTAGGACCCCCGTGGTGCTCCAGGCTCTTCTTCAGGCCCTTGGAAGAAACCAGCATTGTCTTGCCCAACTTTGGAGGCCCTCCGTTGGGCACGGGCGCCAGGTGAGGCGGGGTGATGGCGGAGGGGAGTTTGGGTTCCCGTTTGACAGTGGCGGCTGGGTTGGGGAATTGAGAGGCGTTGGTGGTGCCCAGGGGTAAGCCTCTGAGGATGCTGGCGATGGGGAGGGGCTGCACCTTCTCACTGTCGCTCTCAGAGCGTGAACGCTTGCGGTGGCAGCGAGGGGGTAGGCGGGGGAGAGCAGGGATGGGCTGGGGGAGAGGCAGGGGAAGTCTAGGGATGTTCTCTGGGGGGAGGGACGGGGTGAGGCAAGGGGAGTCAGGGGTAGGATGGCAGTAAGATCCGTTGTGGGGGGGAACAGAGGGAAAGTCTGGCTGGGGGTCGGGTGGTTCAGGTTCGGGCTCCAGGGTCCTAAGAACCTCCTCCACGCTCAACAACAACGTACCTCCACCATGTTTATTAAGCTCCCCCCCAAACGTGCTGATGTCACAAAGTCCCGCCTCCCCACTACCTAACATGCCAACACACACAGGTAGCTCCTCCCCCAAGCTCTCCTGCTTCAGAACACCTCCCCCTGTAGCTAAGGTAACAGGTGGTGGCACATCCTCATTGGCCAGGCCGTTACAGTCATGCAGCCCATTAACCCCGCCCACAGGGCTAAGCCCCTCCTCCTGGCTCTCCTCTGCAGCCGGAGCCTCATCAAGTCTGAGGCCAGACGTTGATGGGGCCGTCGGGGGAGACTGGCTCGCCGAATCCGCAGTGTCCTCCCCTTCCTGCCCGCTTTCGGCCAATGAAAGGCCCTCATTAAGAATGGCGAGGAGGTCGGGCGAATCGCTGGCTGCACTGGCGATGTGCGGGGCGAGAGGTGATTGGGCGATGTAGAGGCAGAGTTTCCTGTAGCAGTGGACCAATAAGGAGAGCTGTCTGTTCTCCTGGAAGCGGGAGTAGTCTTTACACCAGGAACAGGACGGCTTGAGCAGCATCCTCTGGCCCTTACAGCCCCGACACACATAGTGCTGGCACTGGGAGTTAGTGGGCGCTATGGGGTCCTGCAGCAGGTTACCTGGAGAGACACGGAGAGGAGAATAATTAGTAGTCATTTATAGCAAGACAACATTTACAACATGTATTTATCCTTTATTCGACTGGGTGAGAACCATTGATGGAAATCACTCCAGCATTATAAATCGGCCATACAACATGACAACTCAAACCATAAACAGGAGCCACAATTATTAATAGCGAGTTGATATGAAGCTTAGCGGTGGACTGATGATAATGAGTACGGAGGTGGGCTATATACAGTACCAGTCAAAAGTTTGGACATATCTAATCATTCAAGGGTTTTTCTTTATTTTTTAAAATGTTCTACATTGTAGAATAATAGTGAAGAATGACATCACAACCATGAAATAACATATATGGAATCATGTAGTAACCAAAAAAAGTGTTAAACAAATCAAAATATATTTTATATTTGAGATTCTTCAAAGTCAAATCAAATTGTATTTGTCACATGCGTCGAATACAACAGGTGTAGACCTTACAGTGAAATGCTTACTTACAAGCCCTTAACCAACAATGCAGTTTTAAGAAAGAATACCCAAAAAATTCACAAAAACATACTATATAAAATAATACGAAATAAAGGTACGAAATAATTAAAGAGCAGCAGTAAAAATAACAATAGTGAGGCTATATACAGGGGGTACCGGTAAAGAGTCAATGTGCGGGGGCACCGGTTAGTCGAGGTAATTGAGGTCATATGTACATGTAGGTTGTGTAATTAAAGTGACTATACATAGATAAACAGAGAGTAGCAGCAGCGTAAAAGAAGGGGGGGGGGGGGCAATGCAAATAGTCTGGGTAGTCATTTCATTAGATATTCAGGAGTCTTATGGCTTGGGGGTAGAAGCTGTTTAGAAGCCTCTTGACTTGGCGCTCCGGTACCGCTTGCCGTGCGGTAGCAGAGAGAACAGTCTATGACTAGAGTGGCTGGAGTATTTGACAATTTTGAGGGCCTTCCTCTGACACCGCCTGGTATAGAGGTCCTGGATGGCAGGAAGCTTGGCCCCAGTGATGTACTGGGCCGTAGGCACTACCCTCTGTAGTGCCTTGCGGTCGGAGGCCGAGCAGTTGCCATACCAGGCAGTGATGCAACCAGTCAGGATGCTCTCAATGGTGCAGCTGTAGAACCTTTTGAGGATCTGAGGACCCATGCCAAATCTTTTCAGTCTCCCGAGGGGGAATAGGTTTTGTCGTGCCCTCTTCACGACTGTCTTGGTGTGCTTGGACCATGTTAGTTTGTTGGTGATGTGGACACCAAGGAACTTGAAACTCTCAACCTGCTCCACTACAGACCCGTCGATGAGAATGGGGGCGTGCTTGGTCTTCTTCTTTTTCCTGTAGTCCACAATCATCTCCTTTGTCTTGATCACGTTGAGGGAGAGGTTGTTTTCCTGGCACCACACAGCCAGGTCTCTGACCTCCTCCCTATAGGCTGTCTCACTGTTGTGTCACCGGCAAACTTAATGATGGTGTTGGAGTCGTGCCTGACCATGCATTCATGAGTGAACAGGGAGTACAGGAGGGGACTTAGCACGCACCCCAGAGGGGCCCCAGTGTTGAGGATCAGCGTGGCGGATGTGTTGTTACCTACCCTTACCACCTGGGGGAGGCCCATCATGAAGTCCAGGATCCAGTTGCAGAGGGAGGTGTTTAGTCCCAGGGTCCTTAGCTTAGTGATGAGCTTTGAGGGCACTATGGTGTTGAACGTTGAGCTGTAGTCAATGAATAGCATTCTCACATAGGTGTTCCTTTTGTCCAGGTGTGAAATAATGGTGTTGATGTGAGCCATGATCAGCCTTTCAAAGCACTACATGGCTACAGACGTGAGTGCTACGGGTCGGTAGTCATTTAGGCAGGTTACCTTAGTGTTCTTGGGCACAGGGACTATGGTGGTCTGCTAGAAACATGTTGGTATTACAGACTCAGACAGGGAGAGGTTGAAAATGTCAGTGAAGACACTTGCCAGTTGGTCAGCGCATGCTCGGAGAACACGCTCTGGTAATCAGTCTGGCACTGCGGCCTTGTGAATATTGACCTGTTTAAAGGTCTTACTCACATCGGCTACGGAGTGCGTGATCACACAGTCGTCTGGAACAGATGATGCTCTCATGCATGTTCCAGTGTTACTTGCCTCGAAGCGAGCATAGAAGTAATTTAGCTTGTCTGGTAGGCTCATGTCACTGGGCAGCTCGCGGCTGTGCTTCCCTTTGTAGTCTGTAATAGTTTGCAAGCCCTGCCACATCCGACGAGCGTCGGAGCCGGTGTAGTACGATTCGATCAAAGTCCTGTATTGACGCTTTGCCTGTTTGATGGTTCGTCGGAGGGCATAGCGGGATTTCTTATAAGCTTCCGGGTTAGAGTCCCCTCCTTGAAAGCGGAAGCTCTACCCTTTAGCTCATTGCAGATGCTGCCTGTAATCCATGGCTTCTGGTTGGGGTATGTACGTACAGTCACTGTGGGGACGACATCGTAGATGCACTTATTGATGAAGCCAGTGACTGATGTGGTGTACTCCTCAATGCCATCGGAAGAATCCCGGAACATATTCCAGTCTGTGCTAGCAAAACAGTCCTGTAGCTTAGCATCTGCTTCATCTGACCACTTTTTTATTGACCGAGTCACTGGTGCTTCCTGCTTTAGTTTTCGCTTGTAAGCAGGAATCAGGAGGATAGAATTATGGTCAAATTTGCCAAATGGAGGGTGAGGGAGAGCTTTGTACGCGTCTCTGTGTGTGGAGTAAAGGCAGTCTAGAGTTTTTTTTACATATACATTTACATCATTTAGCAGGCACTCTTATCCAGAGCGACTTACAAATTGGTGCATTCAACTTATGATAGCCAGTTCCCCTCTGGTTGCACATTTAACATGCTGGTAGAAATGAGGTAAAACGGATTTAAGTTTCCCTGCATCGAAGTCCCCGCCCACTAGGAGCGCCGCCTCTGGATGAGTGTTTTCCTGTTTGCTTATGGCTGTATAAAGTTCATTGAGTGCGGTCTTAGTGCCAGCATCGGTTTGTGGTGGTAAATAGACAGCTACGAAGAATATAGATGAAAACTCTCTTGGTAGATAGTGTGGGCTACAGCTTATCATGAGATACTCTACCTCAGGCGAGCAAAACCTCGAGAATTTCTTAGATATTGTGCACCAGCTGTTCTTTACAAATATACATAGACCGCCACCCCTTGTCTTACCAGAGGCTGTTGTTCTATCCTGCCGATACAGTGTATAACCCGCCAGCTGTATGTTACTCATATCTTTGTTCAGCCACGACTCTGTGAAACATAGGAGTTACCAGCCTCAGAAATGGCAGCCCAAATAAATTCTTCACAGAGTTCAAGTAACAGACACATCTCAACATCAACTGTTGAGGGGACTGTGTGAATAAGGCCTTCATGGTTAAATTGCTGCAAAGAAACCACTACTAAAGGACACCAATAAGAAGAGACTTGCTTGGTCCAAGAAACACAAGCAATGGACATTAGACCGGTGGAAATGTGTCCTTTGGTCTGGAGTCCAAATTTGAGATTTTTGGTTCCAATCGCTGTGTCTTTGTGAGACGCAGTGTGGGTGAACGGATGATCTCCACATGTGTAGTTCCCACCGTAAAGCATGGAGGAGGAGGTGTTATGGTGTGCTTTGCTGGTGACACTGATTTATTTAGAATTTAAGTCACACTTAACCAGCATGGCTACCACAGCATTCTGCAGCGATACGCCATCCCATCTGGTTTGGGCTTAGTGGGACTATCATTTGTTTTTCAACAGGACAATAACCCAACACACCTCCAGGCTGTGTAAGGGCTATTTTACCAAGAAGGAGAGTGATGGAGTGCTGCATCAGATGACCTGGCCTCCACAATCCCCCGACCTCAACCCAATTGAGATGGTTTGGGATGAGTCAGAAGGCAGAGTGAAGGAAAAGCAGCCAACAAGTGCTCAGCATATGTGGGAACTCCTTCAAGACTGTTGGAAAAGCATTCCAGGTGAAGCTGGTTGAGAGAATGCCAAGAGCGTGCAAAGCTGTCATAATAATAATAATAATAATATGCCATTTAGCAGAGGCAAAGGGTGGCTATTTGAAGAAATATATTTTGATTTGTTTAACACTTTTTTGGTTACTACATGATTCCATATGTGTTATTTCATAGTTTTGATGTCTTCACTATTATTCTACAATGTAGAAAATAGTAAAAAATAAATGAAAATCCCTTGAATAAGTAGGGGTGTCCAAACTTTTGACTGGTACTAATATATATCAATAAAGAAGTGATTAATTAAATTGCTGTTCTGCTCTGAATATTCAACTCTAATGCAATGAGCACAACATCAAAGCAATAGCATATCAATTAAGTCAACGACATTAAAGCCTAAAGGTTGAAATTATCCCCTTTGCCATCTTAATATACTGAAAATATATATAAAACGCAACATGCCTCAATTTTAAATATTTTACTGAGTCACAGTTCATATAAGAAAATCAGTCAATTGATATAAATAAATTAGGCCCTAATCTATGGATTCCACAAAACTGGGCTGGGGTGCAGCCATGGGAAGGATTCCTTTTATACTATACCAGGTATTCCTTAAAGAGGTAGGGTTTCAAGTGTCTCCGGAAGGTGGTCAGTGACTCCGCTGTCCTGGCATCGTGAGGGAGCTTGTTCCACCATTGGGGTGCCAGAGCAGCGAACAGTTTTGACTGGGATGAGCGGAAACTGTGCTTCCGCAGAGGTAGGGGGACCAGCAGGCCAGAGGTGGAAGAACACAATGCCCTCGTTTGGGTGTAGGGACTGATCAGAGCCTGAAGGTAAGGAGGTGCCATTCCCCTCACAGCTCCGTAGGCAAGCACCATGGTCTTGTAGCACATGGACCAACACTTTACATGTTGCGTTTATATTTTTGTCCAGTGTAGTTTAACATGGTTCAGATAGTAAGTGTAGAGGGTTCATATTCTGTATGCTTATTTCAATCATTTATAAAAGGTCATATTAAGAGGCAGCTCAAGACTGACTGCCTCTGCAAGGCTTGATGACAGCTGTGCTTTGAGAGCAGCTTCCTTAGCTACGGCGGTTGTTAGGGATGGCAGCTGAGAGAGGGGGCTTGCGAGAGGGAGGAATGGAGGGATGAAGGGAGTTCCATTTATAAAGGACAACAAACACGCCTTAGATACAGGACAGACTAGGATGCATCCTCTACTCGTCACACACTAAATTCATTCAGATACTCTAAATTGCATAGTCCCCCCCCCCCCCCCCCTTTTACGCTGCTGCTACTCTGTTTATTATCTATGCATAGTCACTTTAACTCTACCTACATGTATATATTACCTCGACTAACCTGTGCCCCCACACATTGACTCTGTACCGGTACCCCCTGTATATAGCCTTGCTACTGTTATTTTACTGCTGCTCTTTAATTATTTCTGAATTTAAAAAAAATAAAAAAAATTACTTATCGATTTTTTACTTAACACTTATTTTTCTTAAAACTGCATTGTTGGTTAAGGGCTTGTAAGTAAGCATTTCACTTTAAGGTCTACACCGGTTGTATTCGGCACGTGACAAATAAAATGTGATTTGACTGCAGTTTTATGGCACCAAAAATCACAAATGTACAGGTAACTGCCAAAATAAAGAAAACACTTGAGTAAATGAGGGCTACAAAATATATTGAAAGCAGGTATGGTTCCTGGGTTAATTCGGCTATTAACATACCATCATGCTTAGGGTAATGTGAAAAACTGCTGGGAGGCCATTATTTTGTCTACCCACAGGGCAAGAGTGGTCACTGAATGGTTTGATGAGCCTGAAAACTTTGTAAACCATATGCCATCTCAATCACCAGATCTCAACCCAATTTAACACTTACGGGAGATTCTGGAGCAGCACCTGAGACAGTGTTTTCCACCACCATCAACAAGACACCAAACTATGGAATTTCTCGTGGAAGTGCATGAAAAATGTATGCACTCACTAACTGTAAGTCGCTCTGGATAAGAGCGTCTGCTAAATGACTAAAATGTAAATGTAAGAGGGTGTCGCATCCCTCCAATAGAGTTCCAGATACTAGAATATATGCCACGGTGCATTGAAGCCGTTCTGGCTCGTGGTGGCCCAACGCCCTATTAAGACACTATGCGTTTCCTTTATTTTGGCAGTTACCCGAGTCGCTGCCTACACACAACAAAATAGGTATTTTACTATGCACCTGTCAAAGTAAACATTGCGTGTGAGGACTGGAGTAACAGAGGAAAACCTCACCCCATTGAATGAACCTCATACTCAATAATTTGTAACAGTGACGGGGAAGGCTAACGTATATCTATGCTTAGGCAATCGTTCCAAATAATAAAAAACGGAGAAAACACACAGCAGCAGTACAGTAGTAGTCTTTACGGCGCTCGTGCATCTACTCCGCACCGGGGTTTATGTCGAGATACATTTTTAAAGACTGCGCATACACGCATCATGTCACAACACAGAACCCCCCCCCCCCCCAAAAAAAAATAAAAAATCAGGAGGGAACAGGAGAGAAGGATGAATGCTTCATGAATTAATCAATATTTTTTTGGGGGGGAAACACTCCTGTTCTGCCTGTACAAATACATACACCTCTCCCGACAGTGATTTAGTTACATATGGAGCTAGTTAGCTGGATGAATGCGGAAATGTAACTAACCAGTGTAGTAGCTAACTGGTTAACTAGTTCATGCAAACAATCCGGTCAAATTAGCCAGTCTGGATCAGTATGTGTAACTATGGAATGCATTTTATTGGATCATAATGAGATGTGCAGTAGCTAGCTTGCGAAGCTACACAGCTCTACGCCATCAGCTAAATAGTTGCTCCGACATTCAATGGGAATGGGGGTGTGTCATGGTGGGGATACAGCTAGGCTAGTTAGCTATAGCAGTTAGCTGGATATCTACAGGGGAACCGAGGCCGTAAAAATAATAATACCGGTGCACTTACCACACACGAGGCAGGACAGAGACTGGCGGAAGAACGGGAGCAGCTTGTAGAGGTCCGCCAGGGCCCGGGGGTCGCGAGGGTCGCACTGCAGCACCGAACGACACGCGGACACGTACAGAGTGGTCGCATTCACCGGGTTCATCTCAGCAGCCAAGAGACAGAAACATCCAGTCCGAGAAAAATGCAAAATAAACAAACGCACAGGTCCTTGACTCCGGCGAAAGTCCCGTGGCTCCCGTTAAACGGGGAAGGGGCTCGCGACTCCCTTTTTGTCCGTTTTATTATTGGCCAAAGGAGGCGGGGAGCAGGCGAGCTGTGTCGAGGGCATAGATGGGTGATGTAGTTAGCTAACTGCTAACCTAGTTTAGTTTGACACCAGCACTATTTTGGCTAATATATATGCACCAAATAGGCAAATTGATGTGTGACACAGCTAGCAGCAAATCACAGCTACAAACACACACATTTAGTATATGATCTGGTAGCACGGGTTGAACATTACATTACTGTGTTCATAATCACAACCAATCCATCTTTAAGACTAGCGCTTTCCCCTTTTCCACGGCACAAAATATGCCCAAATGATCATCATGGCATAAACATAAAACTGTAAATCCCATTAATAGCTATATAAAAAATTAATCTGGAGCAAAAATGTATTCAAAATGGAATTAATTCAGCAAAGCCCGTTCACTCGTCTTCCACGCAATCCGTGGTGCGAGCAGTCCTCGCTGGTTATTCGACAACAATACAGTCACTGGTGTGGTCGGTTGCGCTTTCTCCTTCTCCGGCCTCCAATTATACACTGCTAGACACCTTTGTACCAGATTCAAAAAGAGCTGCTTTGTTTACGTTAATAGTCAAAGCTTATTCGTTTATTCTCCCTCCTTCCACCATCCTTATTCGCATTTTCTTTAGATTCTTAGCTAAAGTTGGCTCCTCTCCTTTTGGCCTGCATATTCGGGGCACGTAGACAGTGATAGCTAACGTTAGCGAGCAGCACAGATTCTGTTGTTGTCTGTGGTTCATGGCGGCTACGCCGCGAAAACAAAACAGGCCGTCTTGGCTCCCGTTAGCGCACTGAGTTAAAGGTAAAGCCAGTTAGCGCATGATAGCTAATACGAGGGGGTACACTGGAAGAGGTAGTGGGGAAGATAGTGTGGAAATCTTTGTTGAAGAAGTAAAATAACCGCCAGTGAGAGCACCGGAGTATATTTACGCCAGCCGCGCGAGTTTGCAGCGGCGGCATCAGGAACAAAAATAGGCCGCTTTAACTCTTTTTGGAATTAGTCCCTCGTTTTTTACCCCCTCTCCGGTTGGGTATGAGCAGAAAAGCAGTAGGTGGTACAAAATCGAAGTCCTCTGTCGGCGTTCGAAGAACACTCCTGTGTATTATTGGAGTAGCTAATATTAGAATAGATTTGTGTTTGTGTAGCCTGCTGCTATTGCTAGCCGCGGAGGTTCTTCTCCCCTCCCTTTTCCTCCCTGGTCTGTAGGCAATCAAACAGGGGGCGCTATTTCTCACATCTCGCGAGAATAGAATTCAAACTGGTTCCCTTGGTTACATAAGTGTTCTCTCTCACTCTCTCAATTCAATATACTATATTGACATGGAAAGTAAACACTTACATTGTCAAAGTAAACATATAACAAAAATGGCCAAAGAAAGGAATATACTAGACTGTTTGTAATTAAGCAATAATAATGTGGGTGATAAACATATTCAAATCAAAATCAAATTTTATTTGTCACATACACGTGTTTAGCAGATGTTATAGCGTGTGTAGCGAAATGCTTGTGCTTCTAGCTCCGACAGTGCAGTAATATCTAACAATTTCACAACATATACCTAATACACAAATAGCAATTACAACAAATAATTAAAGCTGCAAGCAGCAATGCCAGGGTTCAAGCTCTGGGCCCACTGTGCCACCATCAGGACAAATTGGACACATCGCCCTAGGATGAGCTACTTTTGTAATCTTTCCCATGCTTGCCAAATGTCAGAACTCAACATCAAACAGATCATGCAATATGCCTTTGATGTATTTCGGACCATTTGTAATGATGTTGACTACTTTAAACGTCTTCTCTCGAACCCCTGGACTGATTGGCACCAAATTTGGCACATAGCCTCTATATACCCATGTTTTTAAACGCAACATTTTCCATGACTAGCTCAAACAATGTGGCTGCTATAAGCCAATGAGCTTGCATTAATGTTTTTTCCTGTCCAACAGCGCCGCCATGCGGCCAAACTGAACTATACCTTACAGGTTAGCTAGACTCACATCCCTGAGCATGTGTGCCAAATTCCATCACTCTGAGTCAAACAGATCAAGAGATGTAAACATATGCCGGTTATAGCGCCACCGTATGGTCGATCTGAATGTGCTTGCATATGTTGAGTCTTGACAGTGTTTGGAACATGTGTACCAAGTTTTGTTACAATACGAATATCTGTGTCTGATTTATATGCGTTTATGTGCCAGGTCACGCCCATCTGAATGTTTATTGGTCAGTAGCGGCCATGTTGTTGGAGATGCTAGCCTGGAAAATGTTGTGTTGTGAGAACTTGGTCCATAGATGCTATGTATCAAGTTTCGTGCAGATCGGTCATTCGGTGCCTGAGGAGTCGCGTTTTAAGTATTTTTAATCCAATTCAAAATCACGGAAAATCCATCATGGAGGACTTTATGGGTCAAGGGGCAATTTTGTTCCATGTGAGGAGAGGCTCGTCACTAGTTACCACAGCCACAAAGTCATAAACCCCGCCTCTTTCTACAATTTATCTTATTATAATCTGATTTTAAACCTAACCTTAACCACACTGCTAACCTTATGCCTAACCTTAAATGAAGACTATAAACATTATTTTTGTATTCATGAATTTTTACGATATAGCCAATTTTTGACTTTGTGGCTTTGTTAACTAGTGACAACCTGAGGAGAGAGACCTGCAGTGCATTCGGAAAGTATTCAGACCCCTTCACTTTTTCCACATTTTGTTATTTTACAGCCTTATTCTAAAATGGATTAAATACATGCTTTTCCTCATCAATATACACACAATACTCCATAATGACAAAGCGAAAACCGGTTTTTAGAAATGTTAGCAAATGTATTAAAAAAAAAAAACTGAAATACCTTATTTACATAAGTATTCAGACCCTTTGCTATGACACTCGAAATTAAGATCAGGTGCATCCTGTTTCCATTGATCATCCTTGAGACTCAAGGCTGTAATCGCTGCCAAAGGTGCTTCAACAAAGTACTGAGTAAAGGGTCTGAATACTTATGTAAATGTCATATTTCATTTTTTATAAATGTTCTCTGTCATTATGGGGTATTGTGTGTAGATTGATGGGAGAAAAAAAATGTATTACATTTTTTAATAAGACTGTAACGTAACAAAATATGGAAAAAGTGAACGGGTCTGAATACTTTCAGAATGCACTGTATGTACCAAATTCCATGACTCTAGGTCACACTGCATGCAGGGCATTTTCAGTTGTTTGTTATAGTGCCACCAAGTGGCCAATTGGCATTGCATGAGAGGGTGTGGCCCATGGACCTTTACCATCATGCAAATTTGCATCCTCCTAGGCCTTATTATCTCATGGGAATTAGCATTTTTTCACCAAATTGGCGGAATACGTATAATAACAATAATAATAATGAACCAGAAGAAATACAATAGGGTTTCACCAGCTTTGCTTTTTGAACCTCTAATACAGTTTTTTACAATCACTTTGGCACTAATTTCAAAACCTTGACGTCATTTTTCAAAACTCTAGACACAAAACTCACAACCAATGATCAAAATGCACATTTTTCAAAACTCTAACACTTTTTTCAATTGCTTGGATACAATACACATAAAACTAAGATCATTTGTTCATTTAACAAAAATCACCTGTTCAATATGACACAGCTTAACATCAAAGAACTACTATTTCAAAAGGCAATTCACACATTACATTTCAGATGAGTGTCTATTCATTTCATTACAATGATCCAACTATCAATTGATACAACTGCTCAAAATGCTAAGTAACTGTTGCATTACTCTTAATGCATAGTCGTATGGAAACAGACAAACAATATCCCATGTTTAGATCATGAAAGTTTCAAGATAACGAGATTGATTGTCACCAATTAGCGTGGAGCATGAACCAATTAGACTACATTATCTATGGATGTAATATTTCATCATCATTCTTTATCAGACACCGTTTCTATGGTCCCATGTACCACCTTTTCAGACTATTTACAGTATTGACAGTACTGCACTGTATGGATGCAGGCCCTTGTAATTGCTTCTCCAATTCTGCCAACTTGTTACTGATGATTGAGTTCACATTGTGGAACTGGAATTGATTGGGATCCACTTGCAACAACATAGCGATACGTACTGTAACATGGCGCTGGCAGGTGATCCAGGTCACAATAGAGGTCAAGCAGTGGTGGGAAGAAGATGAGGAAGACGTGTTGGTCAAAGGAATGGCAGGGGACAAGCACCCCTTCTGAGAGGTGGTCGTGGGCCTCGTTTGAGAGGTGTGGGGGAACGTGGTAGAGGACAAGGCCACGGACCAAGACAGCGGCAGCAACAGCAAAGAGTGTCCAATGAAATCCGAGCAATAGTTGTAGACCATGTCATAAATCATGGCATGACAATGACTGAGGCGGCTACAATGATACAACCAAACCTCAAAAGGTCAACCGTGGCCTCAATAATTAGAACTTTCCGCAATGAGAACCGTTAAGTAGTCAGCATGCACTAAACATTATGCTTCTCTCAATTGTCAAATGACTGCATACCAATGTGTATCACAGAGTAGGTGATGTGACCAAGTGTCTTCTTACTGTAATGTTTCCTGTAGAATTGAGACTAGGCCAAATAGGGGAGGCAGAGGCAAAATTTTGACTGACCAACAAGAGCAGGCTGTGGTCAATTTGGTTCGGGCCAGATATGATATTCGCCTTACAGACATTCGCCAGCATATCTTGGACAATGAAGACATGTTTAACAATGTGGAATCCATAAGTTTGCCGACTATTGCACGCATGCTGAAAAGGCACCAGGTGTCTTTAAAACAACTATACCGTGTGCCTTTTGAAAGAAATGCAGACAGAGTGAAGCAAATGAGGACTGAGTATGTTCAGGTATGTTCAGTTTCAAGATGGCTGTTGTAATAAAATTCCCTAATAATTCTACATTGTACAGTAATCAGTAAATCTCTTTCCAAAATGTATTTTTAGAGGGTGATGGAGCTGGATGCTGATGACAACCATCACAAATTCATATATTTGGATGAGGCAGGCTTTAACCTGGCCAAGACTAGGAGGAGAGGTCGGAATTTCATTGGCCAGCGGGCAACCATCCAAGTACCTGGACAACGTGGGGCCAACATTACAATGTGTGCGGCTATATCAGAAGATGGTGTGGTGGGACGCAGACCTCATATTGGGTCATATAATGCAGCTCTCCTTGTAACCTTCCTTGATGAGCTCGATCAGGTCTGTAGAGCTGATGGCGTGACCTATGTCATTGTGTGGGATAATGTCAGATTCCACCATGCTCATATGGTGCAAGCATGGTTTCAGGCCCATGCACAATTTACCACCCTGTATTTACCCCCATACTCTCCTTTCCTTAACCCGATTGAGGAATTTTTCTCCACATGGAGATGGAAGGTTTATGATAGGCGCCCTCATGAACAAGTCACTCTTCTCCAGGCGATGGATGACGCATGCAATGACATCACGGCAGACCAGTGTCAGGCCTGGATTCGCCATGCCCGAAGTTTTTTCCAAGATGTTTGGCTAATGAAAACATCCATTGTGATATAGATGAGAACCTGTGGCCAAATCCACAAGACAGAGTTGTTGAAAATGTAGAAGTACAGTAATCACTCCTATGTTTTGATTTTTACAGTACAAGCAAGCAAGTTGAGGAACACTGCATTTGATGTTTTACAGTATTGTATTGTTTTTCATCAATATATTTCAGATTTTGTTCAATGATCTAAATTAACGTTTCATTGGTATTTCACAATAAATTGGTTTTTTGAACTAATGATTGTGCAAGTGCAATATTTCTTTAAAGATATGAACGCACAATGCAATGTTTTGAACATTGGACAGCCTGTGTTACAAGTGACGATCGTTTTGAGTTTTGTGTCTAGAGTTTTGAAAAATGACGTCAAGGTTCTGAAATTAGTGCCAAAGTGATTGTAAAAAACTGTAATAAAGAATAGGCAAATATGAATAATCACGTTTTACTTTTCACTGGCTGTCCCTCAGGTTGTGGCAGGAGGCCACGAATTTGGCTGCCAAAACAGAGCATTTTGGTTTTACACCAAGTATTTATTTAGGTTTACACATTTTTTGTATTGTTTTATAACTGTCACGGATTCTGCCGAGGCTGCTCGTCCTCCTTGCTCGGG